GGCTAGATGAAAGAGTTTTCATTGTGGCCACCCTGTGAGACATGCAGAGCTTCACACAGGCCTGCAAGGGCAGCCTAGGTGATTGTCCCAAAGAGTATGGGGCTCCTAACAACAGCCATGCCCACAAGGCTGGGCCTAACACTTGTGTGCCACTTGGAATCAGGCACAAGGGGCTCTTATCTTTGTAGCCAGGAGCCAGATTTATAAGGTGCTTCCCCCTACCCCAGGGGAAGGATGAAACCCAGAGCTTCAAACATGCTAAGCATGCATAGTTTATCAATGAGCTTTATACCAGCCCCTTCCTCTCTTATTCCAACTTCACTTTTGCTTCAATGGTTCCATTTTAATGAGCCCCAGGTCCCCACATGTGAGGTTCCCCTGAGGTAGGGGCCTAAGGACCTTAGTGAGCTTGGCCTGGGGGAGAAGAGAGGTTCTGCAGACCAGACTGTGCCCATGCTCAACAATGCCCATCAGCTCTTCCCCCGTGTCCAAGTGCCCAGCCAGCCCTTGAGGGCCACTGGCTGAACACAGTTGAGCAAGGCCACCATGTAAATGCAAGCAAGGAGTCCAGAAGGAAACTCCAGTCACAGCCCACCCCTGGCTAATGCACGCTCCTTTTGGGCACTAAGGGCCCCTACCAAGGTCTTCTTGGGTGCCTCCTGGGCCACACATGTTGTGTGGGATAAAGTGTACATGGAGTGGCTCATATGGTGGCCTCCACAAGGTAGTGGAGGAAACAGATGGAAGTGGAGAAAACAAGATCCAAGATCCAAGAACCCAGGCTTACTGGCTGCCCTCAGTTTCAGAGTCTCAGAGGTGGTTAGTACACAGGATGACAACAGCATCAAGTTTCGTCTAAGACAAAGCCTGGAGAAGACAGAAATGGCCTCAGTGCCTGAGTGAGAATTTCTCTCACCAGCAGCTCCAGAAGGCTCCTCAGGCAGCCCCATTGCCCTCTGAGCACTCAGGATGGCAGAAACAATGGCAAAAACAGTAATGTCTGTGAGGCTGTGGGCCTCACAGGCCCAGGGAAGCCCCTCCTCCACACGCGGACTCTTCCTACCATGGGTAGGACTCATGCGGCCCAAGGACTGATGCACCAAAGCCATCCTCATCTTTCCAAGATAAGCACATAAAATCATTTAGCGGGACCTGGAATACCAAGAGGCACATGACAGTCTCGGCTTTGGGTATTTCCAAGACTACACTCCAGAGGGAGTCAATCCCTTCTGTAAAACTAAATCTAAGCTCAAGTAGAACTTAGACATGTTTATGCTGAGGGTGTCTGCTCAGATACCCATCCTGGTCCAGGTCCCAGACGGCAGTGGATTCAGGCCACAACTGGTTAACTTGCTGGCGAATCCGAGCCCGCGGCAGCCTGGGCAGGCTGACTGTCTTCACTCAGCGCTGTAATCGGCACATCTGCAGACAGGAAATCCTCCTTGCTGAAGTTCCCAGTCTATTATCTGAGACACCTGGTGTGGGCGGGTGATTCAGAGACAAACAATGAGGGGGCCCCCTGCACAGCAATTAACTGCTTTAACTGCTAATGTGTTTAATCCACCACGTGGAGATCAAGGCTGTGCCTCCAGCTTCCAGGCTACAGCACCCACTTCATGATGCCAGCATCCATTGGCTTTGGTGGCTGCGGGACATGGGCAGCCTGGAAGCTCTGTTGTCTGGTCTGATGCAGGCCCCTTCTGTGTGTGTCCATGAAAGCAAGAAGGGCCTCTCTTTTCTGTTTTAAAATGCCCAGGAAAGCTCAAAGCACAGCATGTTCAGACTCAGCACTAAATGTCTGAGATGAGAGTCACCATCCAAGGAGATGTAGGTGGTGCCCACCAGGGCATTATATTTTAACCTCCTGGAGCAGATCATCCTTTATTGCAAGTAGAAATAAGGCTTGGTTAAAGGCTTATCCGTACAAACCAGTAGAAAACTTTCCCAGTTGTTCAACTGGGAAGTGGCTCCTGAATGTTTACAAAACGAGGTTCAGAGGGAGCAGCGCAGTCAGCACATGCCTGCGCCACCTCCCACCCCCACCCAGAAGGCGTGCCAGAAACCACTGCCGCCACAGCCCTGGGGAAGCAAGGTCAAAGGCCAAGGGCTGCGAAAAGCTTCCACCCCCAGCATCAATCAAGCCAGGCAGACCGTCTGGGGGATGCTCTTTTTGAAAATACGAAAAATAGCACAGACTCCTAGCAGGGGAGGGTGGATGTGTGTACCCTGACAACTCTGTCAGGCAGGACCCTTACCTGTCTCCTGCTAGAGACAGACTAGAAGTTGAGAAAAGCTGGGGCTTTCCTGAGCACTGCTGCTGGCTCTCTGAACCCCTACCATCAGTGGCATCTGGCTGCTAGCTGACCCCTCAGTCCACAAGCAAGACAAGTGTGTGTGCTCATGATCGGGTGTAGAAAGTCAAGGGACAAGGGGAACAGTTACACAGGAAGAAATTGGCCACCTCCCCATTTAGAATGGAGTTTAAGATAAATATTGGTACAGCTCTTCGTACAAAATATTACTTTCATACTGTTTGTAATGAACTTACTTAAAATTTACTTTGACAGTTCAACCAAGAACATTTTCTTTAGTAACTGTTCAAATTTGGTAGAGAAGCACTAAATTCACTCAGGGGCATTTCAGATCCTCATACATCCAATCCTCTCTCTGAGTTCCAAGATTTGATTTCATTCTGATTTCCACATATTCTGAGCAACTCAGGAGAAAAAGGTGTTTTTCTGTTTTGGGATTTTTTCCCCCCTCAGAAATCTATTGATCTGCGATGTGGCCTTCCTCCTCTGGGAGCCTCACCATGGGGACACCAGCAGCCAGGCCAGTTCAGTCTGGAAAATACTGATGGAACTGCCTACCTGGGCAACTTGGTAAGCACAAGTTTCATTGAGGCAGAGCTAGGTGAAGCTTCTGAGAGTAACCTAGCTTCTGATGCTCATGTCAGGGCGTCAGGGACAAAGCTCAGGACAAAGACCTCAAAGAACCGGAAGTACTGGGAAAGCAAAACCTCAGTTGTTCCCACTGTCAACGTGCAAGTTCACAGGGCAGTTAGGAAAACCAGAAGGCAAAATCAGAAGATACTTGTGTGCAGGTGGCAGGGATGTCTGCATGGAGATGCTGTCTGTTTTGTTTTTCAGTGCTGGGGATCAAACATAGGACCTCAGACTTGCCAGGTAAGTGCTCTAACACTGAGCCACATCTCCAGGCCTGGTATCACTCTCTTATTAAAAACACTTACTTTACAGACAATCATGTTCATAACAGCACTATTCACAACAGTTAAAAGATGGAAGCCATTCAAGTGTCTATTAGCTGATGAATGAATAAACAACATTATTCCCCCTTAAAAAAGAAGGATAGTCTGATACTGGCTATAACATGGAACAATCTTGAGGACATTATGTTAAGAGAATGAGCCTAGACATAAAATGAGAAATGTTATATATTCCATTAATATGACATACCTAGAGATATCAAATTCAAATTCATATAGACAGAAAGTAGAATGGCAGTTGTCAGGGCCAAGGAAGGGAGGAATAAGGAGTCATATTTAAACAAGGATGAAATTTCAGCTTGAGGATGGTGAAAAGTGTTGGAGATGGGTGATAGTGATGGCTGTATAATGTAAAAATACTTAATGCCACTATACTGGACACCTAGTGGTTAAAATGGTGAATTGGACACGGGTATAACAGTGGCAAAGCATCTGCCCAGCAGGTGCAAGCCCTTAGGTTTAGTCCCAACACCATTCCCCATCTCCAAAAAGTGAATTTTATGCTACATATATTTAATGCTATATATGTTACGTAAGTCACCACAATTTTAAAAACTCAAAAATGTTCTTGGCATGGTGGCTCACACCTGTTATCTCAGCACTGGGGACACTGAAGCAGGAGGATCATTGTGAGTTCAAGACCAGCCTGGGCTACAAAGTAAACTCAAGGCCAGCCTGAACTGCACAGTGAGACCCTGTCTCAAAAAGACAAACAAATAAACAAACAAAAACTCCTTAAATATGTGTATCTTTTTGTTGGTGGTAGTATTTTTTGAGACAGGGTCTCACTATATAGTGAAGGTTGGCCTTGAACTCACAGTAATCCTCCTGTCTCAGCTTCCAGAGTGCTGAGATTACAAGAGTGTGCCATCACACCTGGCCTGTATATCATTTTTGTGTTAAAAACAACTGGCTTGCTTGGTATAGTGGTTCATGCCTGTAATTCCAGCTACTAGGAAAGTTGAGATAAGAGGATCTCAAATTTGAGCCCAGCCTGGGAAATTTGGTAAAAACCTGTTTCAAAATAAAAAATAAAAAGGTCTATAGCTCAGTGGTAGAGAATCTCTTAGTTTAATCTTCAGTACTGCCACAAAACAAAAGTAATTTAAAGCCAGGCATGGTGGCCCATGCCTGTAATCCCAGCACTTGGGAAGCTGAGGCAGGAGAAATGCCAAGAGTTCAAACTCAGCCTGGGCTACACAGTGAGTTCAAGACTAGCCTGAACCATATAGGGAGACTATGTCTCAAAGACAAAAATGAAACAAAATTTGTTTGAATTTATAATGTATAACATCTGATTTGTTAAAGAAAAAAAATCAAGTCTTAAACTTCATAGGAACTGTTTAGGAACTGTATAGCCTTCATAGGAACTGTACACACCAAAACCTGAACCATCAAAGTCCACAGAAGCCAGAAGTCACTCGTCTTTCCAAAATGATAACACTGTGAACCCAAATCTGGTCTCTGGTTTGTGTTTTTAGAACTTCACAGTGGAAAAAGTGGAAAAAGAAACAGAGGCACACTGTGCTGGGACAGTAGGGCACTGTCCCTAGGGGCCGTTACAATAGCACTTGAGGTATACCAGGTAGCAGCCAACCTATCTGGAAGCCAGCAGAACTGGTGGTGGTAGGGGTCCTATCCTAAGAGAACAAAATTCTTCTTGGTTTCACCAGGGGATCAGAGATAGCATGTGTATGGCTTGATGCACCCTTACCTATGGCCCACAAGACTGTGTCAAAGGTGCCCATGTCCTCTTTGCCAGAGATGCCATCCTCCCAGGTGACCTGGAGTTGACCATCTGGGAGCTTCCTAATGCGGGAAGGGATACAGCCTCTCAGGAACCGGGTGCCATGAGACTCCATGTGCTCTGTGACCAAAGAAGACATTTGCTGCAAGGCACAAGAGGACATGCCATGAGGATAAGGTGCCAGTGAGGGATGAAGAGGGGTCTATCCATTGGAGGATTTGGGGTATGCACCCACTACCTTCACCTCCAGGTCCTTTTGCTCTCTGGATTCTGGAAGCTGAACCAGGAGAGCGTTCAGTCCCTCTTGGCCCAAAACCTCACATGCTGAGCACTTTGGTCAGGAGGTACTTGGTCTGCAGGCTCCTCTCTGGATGCCAATGTTAAAGAATTAGCTGGATCTAGGAACTCTGCCCAGACCCATGTAGATGACCTTATTCTCCCTACCCAACCCAGTGAGTGTGACCTTGTTGCCATCAGGGAGCGGGGGCAGCCAGAAGAAGATTCTGCTCCCAGAGAAATGTAGGGGCAGCAGGCAAAGGCACAGACTAGAAGGAAAGGGTTGCCTTTCTCCCTCTTGACCCAATAGGCCCTATGTACCCATGCCCTGGCTGTGGATGGTGGCCAAGTTTCCCAGACAGTGTGATATGTGTGAGAGTATCACATAAACTAGCAGTGAAACTGGCCACAGATGCTTCTTTTGGAGGAAATACACAAGTCATGATTTAAATCCTGACACCTTCCCAGGTAAGTTGGCTTATTCTGGACCATATGTATGAGGAGCTCTACACAGCAGGAATGTTCTTCTGGTTGCTCAAGCAGAGAAATTGACATGTTGGCTACCTGTTCCTCTTGCAATCCTCTGGATTCCTGAAAGGTTCAAACATCCAGGGCTTTGGGGAACTAACTACAGGGTATGCTCAGGTCCATTGCCACTTGGCCTGTCTGCAAGGATGGTGTCTTCCTGGAGCTCCAGCTTGGGTCACAGAGACTCTTCCCAAAGCACAAACCTTATCCTTGCAGGCCTCTTTGCCTCTCAGGCTTCAGCTTTATCTGCACCCTACTGCACATCCTCCCCATAGAGAAGTTCAGCAGCTTCCTACATAATGTGTCCTATAAGGGACTGGGGTTGTACACCCTGAAGGACGTAACAGCTATGTGCCACAGCTTTAGGATGAAGCCATATGTGACTGCACAGGACAAAGAGATATGTCTGCAGATTAGAGCAGTGTGCAGTGGTTGGAGTGGTAGAGAACTGAGGTTAGAGACAGTAGGCCTGACCCCTTCTATCTTTGGATGTGTCCTTGCCAGGCCTCTGATCCAAGGTGTAAACATAACCCAGGAACAGGATGTCTCAGACCATGATGGATCCTCTTTGGTAGGGAACACGGACTATTTAACATTTTGACAATGACATCCTCAGACTTAAAGAGTTTAATGGGTGATTATTCCTTCAAGAGTTTTTATTTTATTTTATTTATTTATTTATTTATTTATGGTACTAGAGATTGAACTCATGACCTTGTACTTGCCAATCCCCAGGTCTTTTTCTTTTTTTTTTTTTTTTTGTCTTCTTTATTTTTATCGGTACCAGGGATCAAACTCACGACCGCCTGCTTGCAAGGCAGGCGCTTATGCGGCTGAGCTAAATCCCCAGCCCCCAATCCCCAGGTCTTGAAGAGCTTTAGTTACAAAAAAAAATCTCCATCGACTCCATAGCAGGAGCTGATGGAGTGCAGTTCATACGGGCATCTGCACCCAAGATGAAGATGAGTACAGATACACACCCATGCACCTGCTCAGACACATAAGACAATGCCTCTGTACTCTAGCCACGTGGCAGTCACAGCCCCTCAGACCCCATAGCTCCTATGGGACAAGATTGACCTTGATGGTGAATGAGCCTGCACTAACTTCCCAGGATGTGCTGAGTGCTTCTACATGTGCAGGGTACCTAACCCACAAGAACTGCATGCTCACCCTTGGCTTGTGTATGTCTCATCTCAGCTTATGGTGGATGGATGGGCTGCCTTGTCCTGCAATGTTCATCCAGTATCAGACCAGTCTCTCACCTGCTTCTCCTTGCCTGCGGCTGGCCTTAGTGAGGAGGCACCCCCACTGGGGCCCAAGAGCTCAGCAAGGAGGGAGTAGGGAGTTGGGGTATTTGGGGTAGGGAACAATCCTTCAGGGACACATCCCCATCACATACTAATGGGACAACCTGAAGGTAAGACCAGCCCACCAGTCTGAGGCCAGGAGTGGCATGCCAAAGATGTTCCTGTGGCAGCCTAGTAGGAGCACATCTACATAGCTGCGTGCACACTCCACTTACTAGCCTTTCTTCTAACCTCCCACAAATGTGCTTTCATATTTCCTAAATAATAAAGTCCTCCTCCAACTCAAGTGCCTGTTCTGAGGCATGAGACTGCTTTCCTAGCTCATGCCTGTACCTGCCTGAGGGACAGATAGTTAGAAGGGGGCCCAGACCTCTGGGAGAGCAGCACCACACGGTAGGAGTTGAAGCTGTTGGCTTACCTGGTCAAAGCCTCGGAGTGGGATGCTTCGCATCATGACAGTGATGTCCAGGCCAATCCCTGTGAGGAAGCCAGCACACTCCAGGGCTACATCTGCAGAGGATGGCTAAGGAATACTCACAGATTATGACTTTGGAAGCAAAGGAAAAAGATCCTCAGGTCCCCACTCTAGCTGCCCACACCTCCATCAATCTGCCAGCCCCAGCGAAGACGCCAGCCATGAGCTGCAGGTCCCCTCTACCCTAGGTCTCATGTGCACAGCCTGGGGGCTGAGGGTTGAGGGCTCTCTCAGCAAGCCTTCTCAACAGCACTGTGAATCTGGAATGGGCTGCCCTGTGCCTGTACAGTGCTTCTATCCTGGCTCTGGAGTTAATCTCAGCCTCCAGGGTTGAATCTGCATCCTGGATAAGCCAGAACACAATCACCAGCTGGGCTGGGGGGAAGCAAAGCCCTATGGATAGAAGATGCAAAACTGCTGCCCACGACCTGCGCTTTCGGAGTGAGGTGGGGGCTCCAGGGCTTTCATCTTCCCTCAGATATCCTCTATCCTGACCCTGGGCCCCGTGGGGCTCCTCTCTTAACCCTGCTGGTTTGACTGCTCCTTCTGAAGGAATGAGACCGGAGCCGACAGCTCTCGAGGGAGATCACTTGGCAGCCTCACGGCCGTGTCCACCTGCCCCAACTGGCTGGCTGTCTCAGCGTGTGGCTCACGAAGAGCTTCCAGCAAACCCCAGCCATAGAGGTCAGCATCAAGTTGTCCCCTGGGCACAGGCCCTCTGACCCAAAAAGCCCAACAAGCCTAATCCAAGGAAGCAAAGGGGCCATCATGAGGGAATGCAGTCAGGAAGAACATTTGACATGAAGAACACGAGTCCACGTCACAGAGCAGCTACCTACACACTAGCAAAGGATACAGCTGGCCCCGACCACCAACCTGTCATAGAAATAGAAAGCACAGGGAGTAAGCGGTTACATAGTTCACATGGGCACACAAGCTGTCATCCCAAGGGTGGGACACAGAAGGACCCTTCTGTTTTGTGCCAGGCACTCAGCTAATGAGCACTGAGGCTGACTGTTCAAACAAGTCGTCCCAAGACACAAAGCCCTTCCCAGAGACTACAGTTGTGAAATACAACATGACAAACAATATTATTGAATCAGCAAATTGCCTGGTGGTGAAGGGCATGTGGTCAGTGACAAATAGCACCTGTCCCAAGATAGGAACCAGGCAGTTTCAGGATTCTGCAGCTGCATCAAGAAATGTCCATTAGGAGAAGCACAGAGTTTTCTTCCTGTTCTGAGATGAGTTCTGCCTTGAGACCCCCTAGGCCTCCTGGAGCCAGGGTGGAAGCAGGGAAATGCTTTGTGGGATGGTGAGGGAACCAGATAGGAAGAGGGGGAGGGTTTCCCTGGGAAAGCATATTATGTGAGCACAACACATTGAGACTACAGAAAACCAGGGTAGAAGACCCATGCAGCCTGTCCTGTCCCAGAGCTAGGCCCAGGGCCAGGAAAGCCAGCTCCCTGAAGCAACAGTTGAAGGCACAAGGTGGTGGACAGAGGATGCCGAGATTTACTAGAAATATTTGCTCTAGGAGTTTTTGATTTTTTTTTTTTTTTGTGGTAGAGATATTGAACCCCGGATCTTGCAGATGTTAAGCAAGTGCTCTGCCACTGAGCTACATTCCTGACCCACACTTAGTATAAATCCTGTCCTGTGGTCAATCCTGCACTCCATATGAGTGTGCACGCATGTACATACACTGACTCACAGGTATATCCATACATGTATAGTCAGTCATAGACACACTTGTACATCATACATCTGCACACACCCATGTGCATGCACATATACATATTTTTGGGCACACTGGCATGCACATATGCAGTCACATCACATTGTTGTGTATACATGTGCACACTCATGCATACACACAGTATACAATGTGTAGTACATTTGTACACAATAATATCACTTTTGTACACGTGTACACTCATATACATGTGCACAAATGTGCATGTGCAGACTCATCAATACACACATGAAAATACTCGTGAAGGCCACATGCATACACACATGCAAGCAGGCTCAAAACCCAACAGAACAGGAGCTCTCAGGTGGGTTGGCCCATGTGGGTGGGCTTGTCAGATCACCCATGAGCCTCTGAACAAGAGGAAGTGATAGAAGGATGGATAAACCTAATGTCAGCATTAATCCTGGCAGATACTAATAATATAATTCCATTTCAAGAAACAGCATATCCTTTAGAATACTACAAGTGCCCTGCGGGAAGTATGTGACATGCTGCTTCCTCAGGAGCTGGGGATGGAGTCAAGCTACCTGGTAGGGCACAAAGTGATACCAGGTGGTCACACAACCCCATTCAGTATACGAGAAGGACAAAAGGAGACCAGGAGAGCAGAGATGCCTTCCAGGTCCCATGCAGGGCTAGCAGTGCCTAGAAACAGATATGGGTGCACATGTTCATGTACCACATGACAGTACATAACAACTCTCTTTGGATTTGATGGATATGGTGAAAGGCATAAGCCTGTAGGATATGAAATTACAAGTTACTTAAAGTACAAACAGCATTCATCTGTGGTGAATATCCTGCCCTAACAGCCAGATCCACCTGGGGAAAGTGTGTCAGTAATCAACACACAGTGTCCTTTGCTCACTGCTTCCAGTGGTGCCCACAAAAGAGTCTGCATCCTGCTGAGCCGTGCAGGCACTAGCACAGTGGCACCACAGTGGCCCTTCTATTGCCAATGGGGCCTCCCTGCTATCTAGGAGCCTACTCGTTGACCCTATTCGGGGAATGAGCTGGTTGTAGCCTCCACGCTTCAGGGCAATGAGCTGGGCCTTTTCTCAGTCTTTCTCCATTGCTGAGAATAAAACAATCCTGACTCTGACAAAAATAGTTCATTTCTGGGTGGGTGTGGTGGCACACATCTGAAATCTCTGCACTTGGGAGGCTGAGGCAGGAGAAACACCACAGGTTTGAGGCCAGTGTGGGCTACATAATGAGGCCCTGTTTCAAACAAATAAAAAGGTTGTTTCACATGTGCTAGCCCCCTAAAACTGCACAGGGAGCTAATAATGGAGCTGGGGACCACTGTTCTGCCCTCAGAGCCTTCACAGCACCCAGAACTACCTGTCCCTGTGGCCACACAGTGTGAGAAGAAGCTCCCACTTCACAGGTGCCAGCTCCAAATTGCTGAGTACACACAAAGAAGCAAGCCCTCCCTGGGAATCAGCACCATGTATGGGGTGCTGTGGGGACAGACAGATCCCAGCCTTTTCCTGTGAGTCACCACTCGCAGCCTGCACCATTCACAGATGGCAGGGGAAGAGAACAAGAAATCATCAAGAAGCAATCCCTCCCTGTGAATCAGGGTCATGTGGGGGCTGCTGCAGGGAGAGCCAGATGCCAGCCCCTTCCGGCATGCCGGCTGGCAAACAAGAGCTAAAACCTCCCTACCCACTCCCATCCCATAAGTGACCAGCTGATTCAGAGAAACACAGGCTGTGATGATAGCTACTGAGGTAAAACACAATTCAATGCTTGTAGTGTTTAGGGTTTCACTGACTCTGCAGGTCTAGGGCCTGAAGTCTGATCATCTACTAGGGGGATAACAACATGCAATAGAGCATCTATGGGAGATCTTCTGAGGGTGGTAGCCACTGTTTAATTCCCTATTATCTTCTTTTGAAGTCCTGTATCACTTTCATTGTTTTGTTAGGTTGGGTTTTATTCTGTTTGGTTTTGTTTGATTTTGTTACATCTGATGGCATGGGCAGCTATTTCAAAGATAACAGGATACATTATGGTACAATTGTCTTGTTTTGAAGTTCTTTATTACATTCATTGTTTTATTTTTATTGATTCTATTCTGTCCTGTTTTGTTTTATTTTTACTATGCTGAAGCTATCTGCAGCTATATGGAAGACAGTAAGAGGCCTTATGGTAACCACTGTTGATTTTCTATTTTTTTTTTTTTATTTAAGGAGAAAAAAGAGAAAAAAACAGAAAAAGGGTACAAGTTATACAGACTTTCAAAAAAAATAAACAGTAGGAAATCACTAGTTAATTACATATTGTCATCTTAGAAATAGTTGTTGAAGTTACAAAATTAAAGCATATAGAGGGGACTTTCAAACAGTGAGACTGCAAACAGTTTTGTTCAATGATCCAACAAAACTCAGTAATATGGTTATCTATCTTATACACTTAAATATATATGCAGTTATATCTTTTAGAGAACTTTCTTTTCCTTTCTTTTGTACAATGACAATTACACATTCTGGGTTTTATTACTCTCACAGTTCTCATTACTTTTTTTTTTTTTTTTTTTGAAGAAAGTAAAACCAAATGTGACATACCAGGACAGAGTCAGTCAAATCAAAAGGATGGACATAATACATAATGTAAAAACAAAATACAAGGTGATCAACAATGGTTACCATACTGCCTCTTGCTCTCTTAAGAAGAATTGCCTAAATCATCAGTTATAATAAAATTGAACAAAACAGTAAAGAATAAGATCAATAAAACCAAAACATTGGAGACATTAGAGGACTTCAAAAGAAGATAACAGTCAACCAGAATGGGCATCACAGTGAATCTTATTGTCTTCATAGTTGTTGCCTATACTTTCAAACTTGGTACTATCAAGCATAACAGAATAGAGGAAAATCAGTCAAAACAAGATGGTGAGAGCAATACAGAGTTTCAAATCAAGTTAATAGGAAATCAAAGTGGGTTACTATAATATATCCTGCTATTTTATATTAATTTTTCCCTTAATTAAAAGGATAAAAATGAAAAAGTAGATAATAAAAAGGAGATTGAGATTAAAAAGAGGGCAAAACAACAAAACAGCGCAAGTCAAAGCATAGCCATTTAAGCAAAATAGTGTTTCACCACAAGATAATCTCGACATAATAGTAGTTACCATAGTGTCTCTTCCCTTAAAATCTTTGGGTATAACTTTGTATACTGTAGCATCAAACGTATCAAGACAATGTAAAACCGTTCAAGAGAATGACAGTATTACAGGGTATTTAGAATCAACTAACAGAAAATGAACAATGGTTTCTGTATAATCTCCTTGTCTATAAAAGTTTTTGTTTATATTATCACATATAATAAAATCCAATAAGATACAACACATTAAAACCAATGGAGACAGAAGAACAAAAGCTTGATGGGACTTTAAAACAAGAGGATATTAAATCAGCACTACCTATTATGATGTCTTGTTTTCTCCAAAATGGCTGTTCCTACCATCCAACCTTTTCTGCCTCATTTCTGTTGAGCTCTTTTTCTGTCATTAGTTGTCAGTTTGTCCTCTTCATTTCTCTTTCTGCTCCATTCATTGTGGCCTCTCTGCCACTGTTTCTGGAATCTTGGTATTTTTCATTTTTAGAATATCCTGCAGTAATCTCTGTAGAGTTGAATTGGTGGTTGCAAATTCCCCTAGTTCCTCTTTATCCTGGAAGCACCTTGTTTTTCCATCAATTTCTAGGGACAGTTGTCCAGGATATATCAATCTTGGCTGGAGGTTATTATCTTTCAAAGCTTAAATTATTTCCCCCCACGCTCTTCATGATTTGATGGTTTGTGCTGAGAAGTCTGCTCTAATTCTGATGGGTGTTCCCTTGTAAGTGATCTGTTTCTTGTCTTTGACGGCTTTTAATATTCTGTTCTTATACTGGATTTCTGGAATTTTGATTATTATATGCCTGGGTTTGTTCTGTTTGGGTTGTAGGTGGCTGGGGTCCTGTATGCCTCATACATCTGAGTATCTTTACCTTTTGCTAAATTAGGGAAATTCTCCTGGATTATTTCTGTGAATAGCTTTTGTAGTTCATTTGTTTGAGTCCCTACTTCTTCTTTTATGTTCTTAATTCTTAAGTTATAGATCCTC